AGGGAATTTTGAATTTTGCCCGGGAGGCGGCTGAAGCCTACTCTTATCGATTTTAGACCACCAAGGGATCTTTAACGAGCGCAACTTGCACACGGGCCCTTGTCCGTAAAAGCTAGGTGTAGACCTTTCCTACCAGAAGATCAGGAGTGTGGCTTAAAGACAGCAGTAAGAAGGAGCCAAGGAGTAGCAGAAGAAAGGCTGCAGAAAGAGTTCAGGAGCCTAGAGAAAGGGGCAAAGGAGGTGAGTGAAGGGGGTGCGGGCTGAAAGAGGAAACGAAAGCAGACGACAGAACATGGCTAAAGCGCAAGAAAGGAGGTGAAAGGAGACAGTTTTAGAGAAGAAATTTTTTCGGTCGCCATCCGGATTCAAACCCAGGACCCTTGAATGAGAGGCGAACACTTTAACCTCTGAGCCACGAGAGCCCCCATAGATTGTTTAGTGTAAAGCGCATAGAGATTGCTGTTGAGCGGGAATTTGCGCTTGTACAAATGCTTTCTATCTCCATCTTCTACATGCAAGGGTGGAAGGTCTAACCCACAGACAACGATTTCTGAGTTGCAATGGATGCCAGCCTCAAAGAAAGTTAGGAATCAAATTCTAATTAATCTAATGAGATCTTTAAAAAAAAGATAAACGCCGTTGAAATTTTCCAAGATGGCCTCCACAGCAGCTGAGGAGAAAAGTGGTCATCTTAGACAGGTGTACGTCTTGGATAGTGATGTAGAAAGAAACTCTTATAGGGAGAGATGAGGAATGCCGTTTGAATAGAGGTGACTGTCTTGGACAAGTGGCTGTTATAGCAGGTTCGACCGTAACCATAAACCCAAAGCAATCAAACAAAAATACAATTTATCAAGACTGTTCCCGGGGTTTTATGCACCCTGCATAATTTATCAAAATTTGATCGTTTCTCGCAAAATTTCTTATTATTTTCCTTTATCATTCTTTGTTAAAATTAACAGAATCGCATAGTTTCACATGTTTGGGCTGTTTGCATAATTTCAGATTTTTTTGCATAACACCGCAGGGACAGACAAGATTATTTACGGCTGTATTATACTTCTATACCAATTTTCTCTGGCCATGTAACAATAATATTGTGCTTGTATTGTAAGTATTTTTGATCATTTAAAAGGTGGGCTGCTTCGACCTTGTAAGAAGTTAGAAGGGTCACGTCACCCCTAGTTGAGAGGAATACAATATCCTAGCAGACTGATTGAGATACTCGATATCTTAATGTCCTAAATTAGGAAACAAATTCTTGAGTCTTCACTGTGCGACAGCAAAGAATGTAACCGCTTCACCGCGGGCACTGATTTGTAAGAATAAATATCAGGTCAAACATAATAAGTGGGTTGTATTAATTTCTTATTTTTAGAAATTTATTTGAAGCAAAGTATTTCTGTAAGATTAGCGCAAAATGTATTACGTTTATAAAAAAAAAGCTTCAAAACAAACAAATAATAAATAAATAAATAAATAAATGAATAAATAAATAAATAAATAAATAAAAATAAAAAAGATAAACACAAAAAAACACCAAAAAAAACCCACACAAATTTTTAAAAAATGAATAACAAATAAAACAATAATCCAAAAAACAAAAACAGAAAAGAAAGAGACAGAAAACAAACAAAAAGACTATAAAAAGAACACCTAAATACTGTATTACTGTATAAGAAAACAGACACCGACAAAGGTACGTACCACATGTTTGAGCACGTGTCATTAGTGCCAGCTGACAGGATACACGCACAAATGAAGATGATGAACGCCGTGACGAGCTCATAAGCGACGAAACCACTCTGGGCTTTGAGTCCATAAAGACTGTGGCTGCCGAAGAAAATGTTAATAAAAGATGTTGTGATTCCAGAGTGGCGTGCGAATGTTTTTATTTGCTCTCCCTCCAATCCTCTCTCTCTCTCTCTCTCTCTCTCTGTCTCTCTCTCACCCACCCCACC